AGTTAGGGGAAAAAATGTTACCCCTTATATCTGCTTTTCAGTGATACAATTTAATGTTTCTTTAAATACTGATGCACTTAATTATAAAGATAACATCTTTATAAATTTAACTGATACAGGGAAACCTGAAATTCTGTGTTATAATAGTGTAGGCTTTGGATCAAATTTCACTCTTCAGTGTGAATAAGGAGTGAGTAAAATGAAATTTTGTCTCTGGTGCCTTGCTACTTCTCATGCTTAAGCATTGAATCTGAGGAGATCAAGTACTCTTTGCAACATTAGTCTTCCCACTAACAGGATGGCAAAAGTAGTGAAATAAAGACCAATAAGGTAAGATAATAAGAAGGCTAAAGAAGCTTTTTATTGTTCTTCTCCCAACACAAAATATATAGATCCATGTAAGATAACTACAGATGACTATAGCTGAACAAGACATCAGAATTAAAAATACATTTTTAGAGATCATCTTGTCTATTTTATACCTTTTACTTTAGAAAGAAAAAAAAAATTGACCAGATTTTTGCCAACTATAAAGGGAACCCATCTCTAGCCTAAAAGTCCCTTCCATTAAGTTTCCTAAATAGAAATGTCTAATATTTATCTGACCACAGCTGCCTACTGTGAGGGGTGCATACTTCTTGTAAATCCTCCTCATCAGTAGTCTAACAATGTCTCGGATATCCTGAGACATCTTTAATAACACTAGGCACTGTATTTAGGTGACTGAATTAAGTATTGCTTGTTTACTAACATTTACAGAGGTGAGTTGAAGTAAGATTTCACTTCCCCATACAGTGAATCTTCATTCATTTTCCCACTGGTGTTAAGATGATGCCTCTTAACTTTCATACTATCAGTAGAATATTGCTAATTAATACAGCTCAAACTGTCTATTTGTTTTAACCAGTAAATTATTTTCTGAGTGCACTTATGATAACAGACCACAATGTGTTTACATCTGCAAGAGAAGCTTGAAGTTCAAGTAATGAAACTGAAACATTTTACTAAAATGAATGAAAAGCACTGTGTATAACATTTTCCTAGAAAAATCTGGTTTTCAGCACAATGTTATTAAAACCTTGAAAAAACATGTGAATAACAGATGATTGTGCTAGAATATCGTACTCACTGCCCTCCTTTGTAATTCATTATAATTAATAGAAGATGTACGCATGCAGAATTTGGGCAGTTCAGGAGATACTGAAATTCTTGGCAGAGAATATGAATAAGTATTCTACACAATAAGCAACACCTAAAGTCAACATACTGTAAAAGTAATGAATGTTAGACTAAAAGAGCAATGCAACCAAATATGATCTCAAAAAAACCCTAAATTATTACTATTTTGAAGATAAAGATGTGCAATTTAATAGCAAAATTAAACTGGATTATAGAAACTGGATTATAGAAGGTGTTGGACCAGACCACCTCCAAACGTCCTGTCCAACTTCAACCTTCCTCTGTTTCAGAGTCAACCTTCTATCTGAAATAAGTTGAAAGAATTATTTTCTCACAGGACAAACTTTTCAAGCTTATATAGTCACACAATGCCTAGAAGCATTATGTTCTTAATTTGTATTCAACGAAGATAATTGGTGAAGAGACTAAGCAGAAGTCTCCATGACACCCTCTGTTGACTGCAAGAGACTGATGCTTCTGCTGGAATGCAAGAGGGATGTGTTTTGTCAACATATCCAAGGTGGGACTCAGAGAAGAAAATCTTCAGGCTGCAAATCCTTTTAATGCACACCAGAGATTCGCATTTGTTCCTGTTCCTTCTGCCACACAGCTGTAAACATCTCATCTTGGTTTCATCCTTTTTCAATATTCATCCTGTATTTTTTTCCAGCCACAGGGAATCTGGTTTTCCCTGTTTTAATAAAGGTTTCATAAAGAAGATCTAGTGATCTGTGTTCCACAGTCCTGAAGAAAAACTATTTACTCAAAAGTATGGTAAAGCTTGTCTAATATTTGCTTATTTCATTTTTGCAATAGGAGTGCTTTTACACAGGTGGTGGGGAGAATAACAGTGAAGAAAAAAAAGATATTTGATTTTTTTTCTTATTAACTACAATGAAATAATAGAATTGTTTGGAAAATCAATTTATAACACTAAAATCAAATACACAGATAACAATTTTAAATACCTCTTTCTGCTTGAACTGTGGGATAGATTGATGAATTTATAGCAAGTCATACACTGTATGTTTATTTTCCGTAAGTAAGGCACTTATAAACAGACATCCAGTTCAAAAGATTTGAATTTAGGGTTGTTAGTGGTCATTGTCTTTTTAAAACAGATTTTTATTGTCTCAAGTGTTCTTATTGGAAATACTATGTATATTATACAGATGCAGTTTCTCTGAAGGTAAGGATTTAAGAATGTGACAACTATGAAGAATTACCAGTAGGTTAGTAAGAACATGAGTTTTTATTGAATGTTGTGTGATAATTACCTGGATACTTATTCATAGTCCAGTATACAGCAAAGTATCCACCTTCTTCACTGAGGACTAAGGTACCATGTTTTTACCATGTAGCCAAACTCAGCTGAAATAGCCAATGTAAAGTGGACTCAGACCTTCATTTAGCTCCTTATTCCTATTCTTGAAGTACAGTTTAGTACAACGCAAAGTTCTTAAACAAATGACCAGACTCAATTACATGTTTGTGCCTCTGTTTATCTGCAGTCTGTTTGTATTTGTAGGTGAACACAACATATCTCTATCTCTGTTCATGAATGAGTATACATTTTATATTTGTATATATTTTAGAGATGCTTGATTTAAGATTATGGGACCAACATTTGCATTTCAATTTCTATTTTTAAGAATTTATAAATTAATAACAGAAGGTTTTACCAGGTTGAAATTCTGTTATGTCATCAGTCTAGGAGATATTTTTTTCACAAAAGTGTAAATAGAAATGCTGTGAACTCACTTATCTTTTTAACAATCTGAAAGTACAGAATAGATATTTTATTTGGTTTAGAATTTTATGGCTCACACACACATTACCAAATAATTAAAAAAGGTGGGATTTTTGAAAAACATTAATTTTAGGACAATCATTTTAAGTTCTTACCAATGACATACATTATTCCATTATCTTTTGCTAATGAAACTTCTGTCAATTGGGAAAATTTGTAGATGACGTTTACTAAAATTGGAAGATGAGCTTGCAGACACAAAATTTTGTCTAGAAATCCCAAAGTTTATGTATGATTCTTTGTATGATTTGTTATGATGTTATAGATAAGTCAGAAAGGCCTTCAAAAGAGAGCTGAACACCTAGAGTGAGATCTGTGAGTGACCATACATCTCTCTGTAAGTTTACGGATGAGTACCTAAGATCTTTTTGCACACCTTTATCTAGGTAAGTCTCAAATAACTATTGTGTCCACCTAATTAAACACAGAGTGTGTCGTGCAGTGGTTGCTGATGTAATTTGGGTTAACGCACTATTAAACTATAAAATAAAAACAGGCTAGCCTGGTTATGTCCATGTTCTGAGATAACAGAGCACAAGGCAGCTCTGGCCCAGGCACCAAACCCAGTAACGTGTATCCTCTTCAGAGGTAAAGCATGTTAAGCAGGTAGATGACACATGGACCAAAAACCCTGGTTCAAAGCTAATCACTGTCATAATCTTAGAATTGTTAAAACTGGAAAAGACCTCCAAGATCACCCGATCCAACATTTGACCAAACACCACCATACCAACTAAACCATAGCACTAAGTGCCACATCCAGCCATTTCTTCAACATTTCCAGGGATATTGCCTCCACCACTCCAATGCTTAACCACCCCTTCAGAGAAAAATCTCTTCCTGATGTCTGACCTGAACATTCCCTGGCACAGCTTGAGGCTATGTCCTCTTGTCCTGTCACTTATTGCCTGGGGGAAGAGGCCGACCCTCACCTGGCTACAGCCTCCTTCCAGGTACTTGCAGAGAGTGATAATGTCACCCCTGAGCCTCCTTTTCTCTAGGCTAAACAACCTCAATTCACTCAGCTGCTCCTCATATGACACCTTCTAGACCCTTCACCAGCTCTGTTGACCTTCTCTGGACATGATCCAGCACCTCAATGTCTTTCTTGTAGTGTGGGGCCCAGAAGTGGACACAGCACTCGAGGTGTGGCCTCAACAGTGCCGAGTACACAGGGCAATCACTTCCCTGGTCCTGCTAGACACACTATTTTTGATACAAGTCAGTATGCTATTGGCCACCTTGGCCACCTGGGCACACTGATGGCTCATTTTCAACTGGCTGTCAGCCAGCACTCCCAGATCCTTTTCTACTGGGCCACTTTCCAACCACTCTTCTCCCAGCCTGGGGGAATGCAGAGCATGACCGAAACAAGCCCACATAGAATATGAGTATATTCTTAAGACTGGCAAAGACTCTGCTACCTAATGAAGTAGAAGAGCAACAGAACACCAGCAGTGGAAGGGACTGCTGTGTATGGTGCTTTTTTTTTTATTAATTATATGGTAAAAGCAGTGGGAAGCTTTTACATGAAAAACAATAGCTTCAGAATAAAAGTATTCAATGTGCTAAAACAAGCAAGCAGAAAAACAATAACAGAGAGTAAGGCAAGGCAGTAAACCAAAGGACTGGAGAACAGAGACAGAAGATTATAATCTTATTACACAGTATACCTTACTATATACTAACAGAGAACTGAAAAAGAGTAAAACAAATTAAACAAACTACAGCTGCCTAAAAGAGCAGTCTTGTCTCTCTGCCTCCCTCTCCCAGCCATATACATTCAATTCTGATTGTACATGGTTATAATATGCGTTCACGCTAGCAGAAGACTTGTTCTATTTAATGGTCTGTCAAAGTCCATAAAGAAGTGATGCATGTTTAGTATATCAGAAGAAAGTTGTCTAGAGATCACACAGTTTATACCTCATCTTAGCAAAGCGTACAAGACCAGAGTTATTAAGACAGTTGTCAAATGTAGAACCAAAGTACTACTTGGTATTTGCCATACCTGAGGGTAGCTGTCAGTCCTTGGAAGAACAGATATATCATATGTGGCAGCAAAATGGCTCTTAGCTTGCTGGATCTGACCATAGCGTTCTCTTTTCCTCCATTTTGCTCTTCGATTCTGGAACCAAACCTATAGTATACAAGGAAGCAGTCATAATGTTAACTGAATTACATACTGTGTAAAAAAATTTAAGAAAAAGCCAAGAGATTTTTAACAGTAGCTTTGAAAATTTCTGTTTATCTAAGAAAGAGCGATTTCCACCCGAGAATTAAATTCTTGCAGTTTCAATCTTGTCAATGTCAAACCTACTTAAGTTATTCCTGTCTGTTTTAAAAGTACATATTATTTTTTTTCTATTACCTAAAAAAACCCCAAAACCAAACAGCCGAAAACAAAATCAAAAGCAGCAACCTACCTGAGAAAGATCAGTCCATAGCAAGTCAAATTGTAACTGAGCTTTCTTTTAATTTCCTATGCCCACTGACTTTCTATGCCTAACCATAATCTGCCTCTTAGGGGTGTACATAATCTTTATTAAGTGCAGCAATGAAAAGGTAGAAAAAAACTGGTATCAGGACAGTAAAAACTGGCACTGTAGGAAAGGTTTCTGTAAGGAAGGCTAAAAGGGCAGGAAGATAATAAAAATTCACCATGACACAGACAGTTTTAAAAACATTGTGGGTTTTTTTCCCCAGTGTTTTTAGGTGATATCTCTATCCGATAATGGAAAACTAAAGAATTGCACTTTACACTTAGACTGTGAAATAATTTGGACTATGAAACAATTTAGAACTGAATGCTTTCTTGTCAACTAAAAGTTAATTTCTTTATGCTTGAAGTTCTTTATAGCCTGTGGACTGTTCTGTAATATTTTGAGCGTTGGGTGTTATATCAAAACCTATCATTTACACATTTCTTTCTTTTACTAATATCTGTCATTGTCCAATGGTTTTCAAAATTTATTTTTTATTTCAGACATTTTAGTTTGGACTGGTTAAGACTTATGCTGATAAATTAAAACAAGTCCTAAGAAAAGTAAAACTGTATAAAAGTAATATCCAACAAGTCTTTATTGTTCTGGTATAAGCACACTCATTACAGCTTTTTTAAGAAGCCACTGTACTAACAGAACCATTATTTTTTTAAAAGGAAAGAATGTGATAGGTTAGTCTTCCTGCTAAATTGATCATGAATCAATTTGTATATAATAATAATGGCCAGTCTTCGCGAGCGAAGATCCGGGGAAGGTCTTTACACCTTCCAGCCTGCGCATTGGATTTTTTAGGTGAGACACAGTGTGCGCGGAACTGAGCCCACCCTTTAATCCTAAGGTTCATCTGCCGGGGCCAAGCGAGCTTGGACGGTGGCAGCGAGGTCCTTAGGACGTAGATGGGTTGCCTTTAAGGGCTAACGAGCCCCACCTGCCCGGGAGTGGCCCTGACCGGGAATCGAACCCGGGCCTCAGCGGTGATAGCGCGGCGCCTTTACCACTAGACCACCAGGGGCTCTCAATTTGTATATATACATACTTGAATAGAGGTTTTTTTGTATAGACAATTCCTGTATTTTGAGGGATAATTTCTGATCCCAGATTCTGGAATAGTTAAAATAACCCTGTACTGTAATTCCATTCTTGCACTGATATCTGGAGAACTCAACTGTCCTTTGATACTGCTTAAGCAATCAGGGCATATTTTTGCTCATTTTCATTCTCAAGCACACGTTGCAGATTTAGTATGTGCAATCTTTTAAAACATACTCAACCATCAAAGCAAGTCTCATGCATGTAACTCCTGAGCATGTATTGTTAGGGACCTTGTTGGTAAATTTGTGTTATTTATGATGCCTGAGGTTCAACAAAAAGAAAAGAAAAGGCAAAAAAAATTCTCCTGTCTCCACAGGAGTCATCAGGGACAAGATAAGAGAATTTAGTCATGGGGCTTTTTCATTGAAAAAAGACCTTGACAATCTCTTTAAAATGGGTACCAATTACTTCACTGATATGCAGCAGGAAGAGAACAACTTAGATAAATTAGATTCAGGTTGGCTCTCTCTGCATGTGTGCAGGACAAATATTAAATTGGATGTTGATGAAATGGCAGTGAAGGGAACTGTGGGTAAGGTATCCAGCTGATCACTCTGCTAAACTAAATCAAACAATTTGCTCGAATTTATAGTAACTAAACAAGAAAAAAAGCACACATTCTTTTTTCTTTGACAATCCCCCAAAATGTTTCTGTTTACAACACTTTACTAGAAACTGACTCTTGGCAGAGATAAAGTAACCATTTGCCTCCACAAAGCAATGTAGAAATCTGCTGCTTGTTATCCTTGAATTGCCAGATGCTTGCCTCTAATGACGTAAGGCCTTTTAAATTGCTTAATCTTGTGATGGAATACTCTTGTTACTCTGGACAGAAATGATCACCATGTCCTTTCATATTTAGCATATGAGAAATGGAAAGATCAGTAATCTTTCAAGAAAGGGAAGAACATATTTAAATAAGATAGAAATAGAAATTTGTGAAAATCTGGTACAGACACATATATTTTTCATTTACTCTCTTTTTTTAATACTCTTGGTATATGAAGCCTCTAAACCTTAGAACAAAAAAGGTATAAAAAGTCCATTGACAAACTAATCCAATTCTCTCCCTGTTCTGACTATTAATTTGTTCTTAAAGTAGTTCTCTTTATTCTAGAATTATGCATTTGTTAGAACAGTGTTTTAGTATTATGAAAGCTTATTTTTTTAAGTCAAGACTAAATCGCAGTGAATGGAAATCATACTTGGAAAGTTGTACCAAATTCAGAGGGAGAGGGATTGCACAGAACCTGAAGAGTTGAAAGCCACTGAACCGATTCTCTCCGCATTGCTGATATTGCATCAGTGTAACTGAACACATAGTTTTGGACTCTATTTTCTGATGACAACAGTGAATATGATGTCTGGTTGAATAGACATGAAAAGAACACTTCTTTATAAAATTAATTAGCTGACTTTGTTTCTGAAAGTGATCCTGGTTTAATTTCAGTTTGTATGCATGTGCACTGATGTCTATTTCTTTATATGCATGCATGAGTATGTGTTTAATTACAAGTTGTGAAGTTGTTATCGTATTCAAGTTACTAAATTAAAAAAATTAATCCCAGTCTGTAAGAATCAACAGGAGTGCTATTCTCTACATTGAAGTGATGATTGTTACCAGAACAGGGAAGATATCTAAAATAAGGATAAACTTGCAAAATGTGGCTCATACCCTTTCCTTATGGAAGATCTCTATAAAGGGGAAAGACTGTGTTTCCTGGATGCTTAGCTTCTTTTCTCACCATTACACATCCAAAGCCATAAATATTGTTGAGATTACTGTACGAGCACATACTGAATGAATCACATTTGTACGCAATGAAGATACTCAAATAATGCACTAAGTGATCAACAGTATGTTTCATCCCAAAAACTAGAATAATGTTATTCATCAGTTATACAAGTTTAAAAATCAGCAAATGTTCCTCCTAATTTTGTGATTTCTAACATCATTCCACACAACAGAGATTAAAGGATTGCTTTACACAGGCATAAATATATATATATATATATATGCACACACACACACACTTATGTATGTGCATTTTCACTACATAGTCTTTGGAAATTAAAAAGAAATGTGATTACTTTTTAGACTGTACTTTTCATGCCATAACACACATCTGAACTACATGCAATAGGTCTCTTCAATGGGATCTTTACATGTAACAGTTTACATATTCACTGCCTGGTATTCTACAAGAGATCAAGACAACTTTACTATTGATGATGTTTTCTCATCCTTCAAACAAGTTTCTAGAACAGCAACACAAGCTATTAAAAAAAAAAATAACAAGTTATTTCAGTACTGCAGCTCATATCCATGAAGAAATAAAGCAAAATGAGCAGTTTAGTTTAGTTCTACAGGCTTTTGTGCAATCCCCAGGAGTGTCATTTACCAGTTCCTACAATACACATTTTGTCATGGAAATACTGAAGTTTGGTTCCTACCTGGACTCTGGCCTCAGTGAGCTCTGTTCTCAGAGCTAACTGTTCTCTTACATAGACATCGGGGTAGTGAGTTTTCTGGAATACTTTCTCCAATTCCTCCAGCTGCAAACTGGTAAAAGTTGTTCTGTGTCTTCTCTTCTTACTGCTGGAGACATTACTGTCACACTTATCACCAAGTTCATCCAGGTCTCCCTTCTCCTGCATCCCTTTCACTGGAGACATCCTAAGATTATTGCAATTGTCCATGGGCCTGCTCAACTCTGTGTGAAGAGGCTGTCCTTCCACTTTAGTAATCCCGTAGTTCACTGTACACAAGGTGGGTTAACAACTGGTTAATAACTGGTTAAATAACTGATTAAGGGGGCAGGGGGACCGGGGAGTGAGATGGGGGAGGGAGGCCAGGGGTGCGCAGGGGTTTCGATTCAGGAGTTCATATAAAACAGTTTCACAAGGATCACGATTCCAAGAGGCTGTGTTATTCCTACATGAGATCGTGGAGGAGGAATTTGTAATATTAACCACAGACATAATAAAAATGCTAAAACACATTGAATTTTAACTGAGAATTGTATCTGAAAATATCATCTAAAATCCTTCAAAGTAAGGGGACTGCACAAGAGTACTTGGAGTACTCTCCCATTACTGCCACTAAAGTAGTTAATAATCCATGAAATTGGTGTCAAATAAAGTTGCACAGATAAGGAATCTTAGCCCAAATCATATTTTCATAGAAACAGCACAGACTATTGATAAATGTGCCTTTAAACTTGGAAGTAAATGAAAAAACTTCTATTTTTATGAAAATACAAAATAACAGTGAAATAAACTAAATAGCTATAAACTGACAAATCAAGAAGCGAGTGAAAATGAAAATTAACTTCACTTTACAAGCTTAATAAATTCCTTCTCTTGGATTTGTAAAGTGGAATTGTTTCCAATTAGGTTTGTTATGGTTACAAAACACAGAGCATTTCTGCAAAATGTTAACTTACTAAAAGAGATTGTTTCATATACTTTGTATAAGGATTGAAGAAACTATTTGTCTTTAGGTAAAACCTGAGTGGTAGAGATAAGAAATGTTCTGCAATAGGTTCTTAATGGGAAATTAAAAGATTTCCTATTTTTTAACATTTTTATTCATCTCACATCACTGGAAATGTCATGAGATAAGTTATAGGATTCAAAAAAGCTTTCTTTTTTCTTTTCTCAGAAAAAAAGTGAAAAAAATTTAAAACTCTATAGAAATTAAAATCTACAAGGATGGCATGTAACATACTATAGGAAGCTTGCTGTGGGATTTTCCCACGTTCTCAATAATATTTTTTTTCAATCCGAGCTGATAGTAGCAAAACAAAATTTTTAGATATTTACCATCAACACGTACATAGATAGGAAATACCACAAAGCCCTCCAGGTACCCATTAAATTAGCTAATTAAGAAAAACTTCAACTTATAAATCAATTTTCTGTAGTTTGGGGGTTTTTTAAGTGGTACTTGCAGAAATCTGTCATTATTTCTTACAATTTTTTTCGTACGAAAAAAGGCATACTTTCAAAAAATATATACTTCAATGACTTTATGAAGTCAAAAAAGATATTGTTAGTCGCCTTATTGCAACTGATCTTAACCATGTTTTGCAATTCTACTAGGAAATTAATTTTTCAATTTTTTTTCTATATGCGATTTCCATCATGTTGGAATAATGAGGAAAAATTTTAAATGTCTCAAAAATAAACCCTTCCACATTCGCCTTGCCTATCGGCTAGAAAAATATAATAATTGGTGGAATATTTAACATTATTTGGACTGCCTAAATCATTTTCGGAGGAATCACCTATACCCATTACTTGATAACACGGCAGAGAGAACCCCGCTACCCTCGCAGGACTGTATTTGAAAGAAGCAAACACTACCAGGTGACCTTGTGTCCCCCTCCTGCAACGGCACCGGAGATCCGGCCGTGTCTGGTGTCCCTCCGACACCGACACCCGGGGATGCTTTCCCCGCGAGTTTGCTGGGTGAAAACGCCGCTACCCTCAGCGGGGCGGGGGGGGTGCCCGGGGTCCGTCCGAGGGGGTGACCGGGGGCCGACCGGGTGGTACCGGAGGGTGACCGGGGGCGGCTGTGCCCTGCGGCACCCTCTGGGATAGGCCGGGACCCGCTGGCCCGTCGGTACCCCGGGAGCGTGGGCTCGGGGCCGGGGCCGTACCGGAGTGCCCGGTGCGGTGTTCCTCGGCAAGGCGGGCAGAGACCGGGAAGGAAGGCAGTAGCCGGAGGGTTGCACTGAAAGGAAAAGAGCTCTTTAAAGTAGACAGTTGCCTTCTCCCTGGTATTTTTTTTTTGTTATAATAATAATAATTATTATTATTATTTTAATTATTATTATTGGGTTTGTTATTGTTATTTTACTACGACCTAACAGCCCCTCACATGCCTGCACCCAAAGACTGCACAGCTGCCTTTGGTCTCCCTGGGCAGGAGAATCCCTGCCCTCCCCTGTACATCTCCAGGAGAGAGAATAACTTTGGAAAGACGACTCACCGTTGTCCTGGCAGGGTGATGTCCTCTCCAGCCTCACATGATGCTCAGCCCTTTGCAGAGGATTGAAGGCCTGTACGCATTTGCTGCCTGACGTTTTGCTATAAAAGGATTCATTGTCCAAAGTTTCCATAACGTGCTCCAAAGTGCCTCCTGCTCCCATGTAAAAGTCACTGTTCTTGCTCGGCTGGCTCTTCAGGGCAAACTTCTCGCTCAGAAAATCCATAATCATCTAAGGCTGCCTGAGAGCCTCTTCCCTAGACAGAGGCTGGACTGTGAACAAGGGAGGGAGAGTGAGTGGATGGGAGGAAAAGGAGGGAGGGAAAGGCAGTCAGACCTCAGGGAGCTGTTTTGCCTCTGAGCCTTTGATTTGTCTTGTCTTGAAAGGGGGGACCCGAAGTTGCTCTTATATCTTGAAGCTCAGCAGGACTTCTTATGCAACCTCCCATTTCTAATGAATATGAAAATAGGCAAGAAGTCTAACTCCACCCCAGGTCCCTCAAGACCTAATCCCAACACAGGAGGGAGTTCCAGGCCCATTTTCAGACAGATCTGTTTCAGACAGACACACACACACACAAGCGTTAGGGGAGGGTGAGGGGAGATAGGGAGGGAGGAAAGGAGGATAGATAAAAAGGACATTTCCCTTCTGCAACCTCTTCACATTTCTTCAGGGATCCTTGAAAGAGAGTAATCCCTCGCTTCTATCCCTCTCCCCCCAGCTCCCCGAGAGGCTTAGAGCAAGATAATTTCAGGGGCACATACCCTCAAGTAAAGGGTCTTCTTTAATCGATTTGACTGATACGTCCGTAGCTGCAACCCTGTTCTCTGAAGCTGTAAAATTAAGAATCGGTGTTCCTTCTTTATTAAAGAGCTCAAAAATCTGTCCTAGGGTTAAAGAGAGAAAGAAATATTATGGGCGGTTGTTTGTGTAGAGGGAATGGAAAACAGAGAAACTTAAAACTAGAAATCTCTCATCAGAAACCAGTCTAAAAGACAGTTTATTATGAAACAGATCTCATCCAGTCTGCTTCTCTGTCTGTGTTTGGAGGGTGTGTGCGTGTGTGCAAAGCATTAAAACGGACCTTTATTTTAAACCTGAAATATTACTACCGAGTTGAATAAAAATAATAAAAAAATTAGTTTATAAATGAAAGTATTTTTTAAAAAGTCTTAGGTGATAAAATGGAAAAGAAATGAACCATGTAAGGATGCATTCCTCTGGATATTGGGAAAACGAGTAGTTTTCACACAAAGTGTGAACTTTGAAGTGTTGAATTCCATGACCCTTTCGCACATTGATAAGATTTAAAACACAGTCGAGAGATAGGAGACTATTTCGAAAAGGGTCTGAATTACGGAGAAGGGCTGCTCCCTGATTCCTCATGAAAGGAGTACTCGGTGAAGCAAAGTAAACCCGAGACTTCAATCAGCATTGTGGGCCCGCGCTTGTTTGTTCTACTGAGTCTGTTTTAAAATCCAGTTCAGTGGGCCCTTCCCCCATTGAGGCGAGGAGGGGGAGAAGCAGCGAGGCTTTAATGAGTGGTTGAAGTATCAGTGCAATAATGGCCATGGGGGCTGTGGAGCGGCTTAAAGACCTTTCCTGTGAACCCAATCAAAGGTGAAGGGAAAGACCAGTTCAGGTCCAACGTATTTCTCGGCGAGTGGCTTCCCTTCCTTCTTCAGCTGACCTCTGATTTAATGTTTTCCCAGAAAACGGGGTAACTAAGTGAGGGATGCTTGTTTCATCCACAGTCGAATAGCTGCGGGCATCACCCGCCACACGCACAACCTGCCCTTCCCTGTCATCTGTCAGAACCAGGCTGCCTCCCCCGCAACTCCGTCCTGTTTCACAGCGTTACCTGCCGCCACCACGGAGCCCCTTCGGGACAGAGAGCAGAGGTGGTGCTCGGGGACTTGGGGTGGTCGGTGTGTTTGGTGGGGTGGGGTGTCGCTTTGCTATCCTGTGGAGAGGGAGAGATGGAAGAGGTTCCCGTAAGCCGCCGGGAGACGGAAAGATGAAGAGACGCGGGGAGCGAGCGGTGCCCTGAGTGCGCGGCCAGGTGCGGCGAAGGGGCAGTTCGCTGCCTGCCCGGGAGAGGGGTTGGACACGGCCCCAGGAGCCGCTTCAGGGGCAGCTCCCGTCCACGAATTCCTCTTGAAAACGACGCGTTTCCTCCCTGAACCTCTTGGAGCAACGCCTGCTCCGGAGCCGGCGAAATAGATCTTCTCCCTGCCCCCGCATCTCCGTGTGCTGGCACTTCGGCAGCGTGTTTATAACTGTGCCTTAAAAGCACTACATGCCTTGGGGGGAGGGGAAAAAAAAATAGAGAGAGAGGGGGAAAAAAAGGAGCTCTAGATGTCTTTTAAATGAAAGACACATGCAACGTTGTTGCAGCTTGCAATCCACTTTTATCCCAATAAATATCCCTCTTTAAAGACAACTATTAAACTCCAGGATAGCCGAGGACAAGGAGCATCTCCTGTGATCGTAAAAAACCCAGGGACTCCCTAACGAGGCCGGAGGGAGTGTGGGTGACAGCCGCAGGGACACGCGTGTCCCGTTGGCTGCGAGGAACGGCCTCGGCGATGGCGGCGGTCGGTCCTCCCGGACTGGCCCGCAGCCTCAACCCCGCCGCTCCCTCCCCTTCCCGGGACAATCTGACCACCCCGGTGGCGCTGACCCGCGGGGGGCGGGAGGCACCGACCTCGACTGGGGACCGGGATGGGGACTGAGCCTGCCGCGTCCTCTGTGCTCTTCATCCCCTTCCCGCTCCGCTGAGAAAACACGACCCTCCCGCATCATCTTCACCCCAGCGGAGACTCCACTCGCTTGTCGTCCCGTCTTTGTGAAGCACTCCCCGCCAAGATTAGCGCCGACATTTATACAAATGCGTTTAAGTATCTATTAGAGCGCGACACAACTTATAACCAGATCTTAAAATCCGTCCCTCCTCCACATGAAATAAATAAATAAATGAAAATCAGAGTGGTTCCACATCACTGTTAGCTCCAGGGACCAAATTCTGCTCTTATTTTCCTCTATGTAATCCAGCGGACTTCAAAGTGAAGGAGAGATGTAACCTAGGGGAGAATTGGCGCCACGTATGGCAATCGTTCTCCTTAAAAGCTTGAAAACAGAAAGTTGACTTCAGTGGGCTAAAATCATTTGAGAGGGGTTGGACAGATCCCGGGGGACAAGGCGGTAAAGCAAAAAAAAATTCTGTGCTGAGGTGAGACAGCTTTGAAAAGCATCTTTCTTCAGGGACCGACTCCCTCCGCCAGGCAGCCCGGTTATTAAGAGCTGCATGCAGATGTGCCGCTGTGTTTCCAGAGATGGAGTATCTCCTAAACCTTCTGTGAAAGGGTGTTATGTGTGATGGAGAGACATTTCGTGGCGAGAGGTGGTGTGAAGGAGCTTGCCCCTGCAGTGCATAGGAACTTCTCCGAGGAAGCCTGTCCACTGGGACAAGCCGGGCGCGCATATCACGGGAGGCTCCTCGGCACCACTGGGCTCTCCTGCGGGGACGACGGGCTGCCTTCCCCCCACCGCCCTCGCATTCCTTCTCTTCCTGAGATCAGAAGTTACAGACCAAGCGTAGGAATGAGGATCCCGCATAAATTGCAGGCGTCTTACTGCCGAAAAGTCCAGGAATTTGGGTGAAGTGTGTGAGTGCGGTGCCGGACCTGCACTGTCCGCTTCTGTGTCCTCAGCCGCTGCTGTGGTGCTGCTCGGCGTGGCAGCTTCCAGCCCAAACAGGGCTACTGTTTGAGGGATCTCCTCACACTCTTGCGTTTGTTTAAATAAAGTGAGAACGGCATCAATACCTTCCAAATGCCCAGGAATCCGAATCCCCTCCCGCGTCTTCTCCCCATTTCTATACTGGTTTTTAACTATGGATCTCAGTCCAGAAAGATTGCTTCTTTTAAATCTGTTTTACACTAACGCTTCTCTTCCCCCCAGAAAAGTTACAACACCAAATGTATTTAAGGATTGACTGAGATAAAATTCGTGCTACCTTGGACTGGCCTAAACGAATTTTGAGGGTACTGTTCACCTTCTTCCACATACGCGCGCTCCAGTTATCCGAGAAAATGGAAAGTGAAGCTATGAAGATGAGAGCTGGGTGTTCCCTCGGGGGAGAGGTGGGAGGTGGCCCCGCAGTGAGGGGTGGCTGAGGGCTGACTATAGGGGAAGAAAGGAAGCGATGCGTTCTGTTGAATGGGATCAAGCACCCCAATAGCCTCCGGGGAAAAAGGAAGGTTCCTGAAACACCAAGAGAACTGTCTATCTCGAAAAACAGGTGCTCAAATGGTTCAGTACTTCCACTAGCCCTCGGTTTTCTATGCTGAGGCTTTACCTAGCAGTTCATTTCACTTTCAGATCCGGAGATTTTATTGCACGAGCTGGATGCAGGCTCCACAGAGACCCGAGAAACCAGCACTTCGGTCTCCACCACGCGGTTCTAGGAACCGACCTGACCTGTGGAGGCAAAAAAAAAAAAAAAAAGGTGTAAAAAGACATTCCACGACTCGCTCCATACCTCTCTACCAATGGAATGTGACAAATTGCAAATTACAGATTCAAAACCTAGCGTGGCTGAGTTATAATTTTCCAGACATCCTGTTTGTGAGGATAATGTGAAATATTGTTGCTGCCAGTAAAAAGAAGTGCATTCCCTCTCAATGAACACTGAAATACGTTGAGTTTTGAAGACGGTTGGATTTCCTTTATATTATTTATTATTATTATTATTATTATTATTTTAAAACATGTGAAGCATCACTAATTTAATCCCTGAAAATAAAGATTGTGTTTCGGATTTCCACAACTAGGCTGCAAAAAGGTCCTAATCCAAGCCCCTTTTAACGAACTTTCTTCCTAACAGGCAGGTTTTGTTCACCTGACCAAACAAACACAAATCGGTTCTGGTGTACGTGTGTAGCTTTAAGATTTTCCGTTTGGAGAGGAAGTGTTTAATTTACACTGTTTGGAGTGACTTTACCAAAAACCTGTAATTTTGTAGTTTCAGAGATCTGTAGTTTCAGAGATCAGTGAAAGTGTAAGAGTGAATCGACTATTCTTCTACTAGGCAATTTAATGTTAATTCTGCGTGGGCAGCGGAAGAGTCTGTTGAGTCCCGTTCACCTCGCACAGGGAAAGCGATGTGTCCTGTCTCATTAGGTGGGCCTGAACCTGGAGTCTTTCTCACTTTCCAGCCAGCCTCGAGGTTCAGACGTTCCCAAGTTTAGTACACAAACCATCCCAAACGTAACGACAGCAATCATTTCACGGTTCCTGTAGTTTGGCGCTTTGACAATACCTCAGCTGTTTGGGAGGTTTCCTGTATGACACCTGCACGATTCCATGTCCCTCAAAGGCATATTCAGAGGGGAGACAAGAAATCGATGAATAGGAACGTTACCCCGGTCAGGAAAGCACGATTGCTGTCGGAGCAAGACGAACCTCGAAACTTTTCTTCTTCTGACATGGAGTGACTCTTCTTAAACCATGTAATTTATTTTTTTTTTCAACACAAAATGGAACGAGATAAACTTTAATGTGTAGATTTAATCTTAGCCCCATAAGAAATCTCGGCAGAGATGCTCTATAAAAGCATTAATCTCTTATCTTGATCTAGTTAAAATTATAATGAATCCTACTTACATATGTGCTATAAAAACAAATCATACAAGAATTTAATCTATACTTCACTGGACTGCTGTTGTAACCCTTTATCAAGTTTAGAAAGGATTTGAAAGTTGGGCCGCGGGACTCAAAGCCCTGTGCACTCTGGCACCATCAAGAAGAAGAGACCTTCTCCTAAAG